TGGCTATTGTTAGGCAGCAGATTTGAGGCAGCTGCGTTCTGTCTGCAGAGGCCTCCGGCATGTGACCTGGAAGGGCCGGTTTGAGTGATGGAGGGGGCTCTGCTTCAGAATAAGGACGGGCCTGTTTTGTGCTATTTCTTAAGGCCGACGTGTGCCTGGAACAATAGCACACATTCATGTGCACTGCAACCCCCAGAAGCAGTATCCCGTCAGCCACTGAGATTCAGCGAGAAAGGGGCAGGCAGCTTTATTTCTCCTGCCACAGCACACTGCGAAGGAGAGCCTCCTTGCTAGCACGTTGCACGCACGCGCACACACACACACACGCACACACACACACACACACACACACACCACAGCTAGCTCTAATGTTCAAAGTCTGAAGCTGCATCCAATTATTCTGGGGCTCTGAACCTCATCCTGGGTTGGACTCCAGCAGATTAAACCTTTAAACCCTGATGATTGTTTAATCTTATAGGAGTAAAGCCTGCATTTCTTTTTAAAAATCTGCCCCAGCATTTGAAAGCTTAATTTTTATTATGCATGCATTAAATTGGGACAGTCACCACTGAAGGGGTTAGTAAAGAACAATAACACATTTCACTTTGCAGAATAAGAGACAAAGTGTCTTGGCCCAGGGTACCCTGGTCTCTCCTCTCCCCTTCACTCTGCAACCTCCTTTCAAACCCACACAGAAAAGGCAACATTTCTTAACTAAAACCAAAACACCATGATTGCTTTTCAAAAAAAAAATTTCAAGGTTCATTCTGGTAATGCTAAGCCTATTAAAAAGCCCTCTTTACTCTGAAAAACATCCCATGGTTTCCCATGGGATCACAGAATTTCGGTCCCAAGTTTGCCTCTAATATTAATAGAAGTAGGGAAATCATGATGTCTTGGAAGTACTCCTGACCTGCTGGTGAAGTTGAACGCAGCTAATGCCAACAGTAAAATCAATGCTTTAGAACCATTATGTAGGTGGATGGCTTGTGAATTTCATCCCTTCCTCTACTGAGAACTGGCCCATATTCCTGTCCCTCCAAGCAGGCTTGCGGAGAACAGCAAGAGATCAGTCCTTTCCATCTCTAAGTCTTTATTCCTGGTGATCAGCATCCTTTCAGATTAGTTCAGAAGTCCATCTTCCTTCTTCAGCCTCTCATTACCTTCCACAATAACAGCCAATTTTTATAGAGAGCACAATAACTTAACATTTTGCCAGATGATGCTTAGAATGTGCTAAATGGCTGTTACTAGTTTAACCTTCAGCCCAAGGGTAGGGGAAGCAAGTTTTGTATCCTCATTTTACAGCTAAAGAGAGTGGGCACTGTTTTGTGCTATTTCTTAAGGCCGATGTGTGCCTTAACGAGGTAAGGTAAGGTAGCTTGCCACAGATATGCAGCTGGTGAAAGTAGAAGAGCCAGGACTAGAACATAAAGTGTCTGTGTCCAGCTCCCAGGCTCTGAACCACTCTGCCAGGCTACCTACAGACCCGGATGTGCTGCCACATCCTGCTCTCCTGTCCTGACAACATGCTGTAGCTGAAATACTGGGCGAGTCTGCCCTCTCCTTGCCATTGTCTCTCTACAAGATCTAGCCCCTCATTGTCTCTCCTGTGCTGCACAGCCATCTTCCCAACCCTCCACGGCCTACCTGTCCTGGCACTGAAGGCTGTCCCTGAGCTGGACTCAATGTATTCACTCATTTTATTTCCCTAAACTGATCCCTACACTGACCTCCACAAACCCTACCACTCCTACAAAGTCTTCTTTTCTGACATGTTTGACTTCTCACTTCAGTAGCTTGCTCTTTTAGACTATTCCAGCATCATTTCACACTATCTACATTTTCACCAGCATGCACATGCTAAGGGTGGCAAATGTCACCCTTTCCAAAAGACTTCTCCAGCTCCCCATAGGGTTTTACCCACGTTTTTCTGGTTGCACTTTCCGCATCTTCTTCTAGAGTGACTTATGACAGGTGTTCTTCCCCAGTCAGGCTGAGAACTCACTGTGGCATGCGCCAGGCCTGCTTTGCCTTTGTCTCCCCTTACAAGAGTGTCTAGTAAGACTCCTTGCCAAGGTAGGCACTGAATGAATAGAAATTGCCAGAAAGCTCTTGTACACCCAGGATGCCAGAGTGGTAGAGGAAGATGTGCCAAGATCAGGGATCTTCTGTCCATCCTGTGATCACTAATCTCCTTGCCTTGGCTTCATGATCCTCCAAGAGGTCTCCTCTCTTGATGGGGACCACAAGACTCCTTAGCTGTCATTCCTATTGTCCTACCCTGAAAGACAACTACGACCAGGGACCAAGTGAAGGCTTAGCCTCCCTTTGACAGCCTTCCCATTCTTAGCCTAATGTAGGAAGATGGGGAAGAGACATAAGGTCCTTTCTCAAACCTTCACCGTTAGCGAGTCAAGAGAACCCTTTGGATAGTGAAGCCTTTTGTGAAAGAATTAATTCTCTGATCTGGACAAGGCTAATTTATGAGCACCCAGTTTAAAATGCAATAAAATACCTCTTTCAATATCCTTTGGAAATGGTCTTGTTCTCCTTTTGCTGTATGAGTGGTGGGATACAAGGACATTTAATACTATCTCTCGACTCTGGGCCTTTCCTTACAACAAGTAATTTTTCTTTCTTTTTGTGACAGTGATTACTTTTTGTGATATGTAGTCAGTGACATTTAGCCAAACACAAGACACATTCAGACCTGGGGAGGAGCCACACACTGTCCCCTTCAGATGCCTCTTACACGGGGCTGTAAGTGTGAGCGCTGAGGGAGCATTATGGTGAGTAGTGTGGTTGACCTCAGCTCACCCTCTGACCAAAGGGAAAATGATTACAAACATCTCTTGGTAAAAACTTCCCTCTTCCATAACTCAGTGACACAGAGCTCATCTTTATCTAGGCCCCTCAAGGACAGGCCTTGGTTTCTTTCATAGCTCCCACAACGTCTAACGCAGCGTGCTCTGTTACACAGAGGACATTGACGACTTTCGCTAGCAGCTTTCTCTAGCAAACGTTTCTGTCTGACCTATTTTTATCTGTACATTCATTAGAAGAGGCACATTTCCCTATCCCTCAATGCCTTGTGTAAGCCAGGGATTCTCACTGGAACTACTGACATTTCGGGCTGGAGATGCCTTTGTCCTGGGGGCCTGTCCTCTGCTTTGCAGGATGTTTGGCAGCATTCTTCGCCTCGTCTCAATAGATGCCAGTAGAACTCTCCCTAATTGTGGTCATCGAAAATGTCTCGGATGTTGCCAAACATCCTCGGGGAGGCAAAATTGCCCCCAGTGAGGAATGCTTGGGCTAAATTAATGACACAAAGAGTTACAGCATGCTTACTGCCTGCCAGGGATTATACCAAGCACACTGCACATTTTGACTCGTTCAGATTTATAACTCTAGGAAGTAGGTACTGTCATAATTACCCTCATTTTACAGATGAGGGGATGGAAACCAAGTTTAAGGGTTGACCTAGACTTCTCCAAGGTCATATACTGGTAAGTGGTAGAACACAGGCATAATGAATGAGGTCTCTGTCCCCCACCTCCAAAAGGACAAGTTTCTTTCCCTTCCTTCTATCCTTCCTTTTCCTTCGTCTTTCTCTCTTCTTTTCCTTAATTGCCACAGGGCACATGCAGAGCGAAAGAGAGAGAAGGAGAGAGAGAGAGAAAGCACACACACACACACACACCGCCAGTGGGACATGGTCACACTGTAATTCCTTCTCCTCCATTTCTCATTCTGTCATTCTGTTGGGATTTGGGACATGCACACACATACCTGGTGTGTTCTTCAAGTCACCAGGGACAAATCTGTAAAGCCATTGACCACGTGGGATCCCATTTCCTTAACCACAGGCTACAGGGCTGGTCCTTTATTTATTTTTTTTTAAGTAAAATAGCCATAACATAGAATTTACCATTTTAACATGTCTAATTCAGTGGCATTTAGCACATGCACAATGTTCTGCAACCACCACTATCTAGTTCCAGAACTTTTCAATATCCCCAAATGAAATGCTTGATGGCAAGAGTCACTCCTCATCCTTTTCTTCCCCAGCCCCTGCCAACTACCAATCTGTAATATTTCCTGTCTCTCCAAATTCACCTGTTCTAAATATTTCATATAAAGTGAATCAACTAAATCGACGACTTTTTGGGTCTGGCTTCTTTGACTCAGTATAATGTTGTCAAGGTTAAGCCGTGGCATGTGTCGCTACTCCATTCCTTCTGATGGATGCGTGGAAGTATGACATGGTGTCCCCTCTGCATCTGATGGACATGTAGACTATGTTCACCTT